CAGTATCTATGACCATAGCATACAGAACCTTGCAGGAGAGGGGAACGATGGCATGCCTTGGCTGACTAAAGAGTAATGGTGACACATGCCCTAAAAGGACAAGAGAATTTATTTAGAAGTTCAGAGAAGAATGTGATCTATGACTCTCTGATGAGGTGGTATATGGAAAAGGGGAAATGAGGTGGAAAGGAAGGAGAAAAGAGGAGAGGAAAAAAAAAGAGGCTTTGTGGCATAAGGGGCACCTGAGCTGGGCACAAAACAAAGTCAAAAGATGAAGTTAATGACAGCGTTTCAGGAAATCATAACATATCTACAAGCTGCGAAGGTGCTAGTCAAGTAAAAAGTTGGGATGGAAATTTGTTTCGGGAGGAGACGAGAAGCAACAGATGACTAGGCTGCTGCAGAGAGTACAGAATAAAGGGGAGCAAGACTTAGAAGGCCAGGGAGATGATGAGCAGGCTAGGAAGGTCTGGACCACCCTGGTTAACAGGAAGCTGCAAAATCTTAGAGGTGAGAAACTGGACAGATTAGCATCATGGAAGAAGCTCCTTACTGTAGCATGAAATAGGTAAATACCATGCTACAGTATGATGAAAACGGTATCAACACCAAAACCAGCAGGGAGATTCCTGAATCAGTACCCTACCAAACAAAGGTGCACCTCAAAGACTGTTTAGAAAGTGATAGTGTTGAGGCTAAAGATTCTAATAGTTAAAATTACCGGATCTGAAGTGGGAGGGCTTTGAAAAAACAAACAAAAAAAAAACACCCCTTACCGTCTAATAGATTCTAACTCATAGCAACGCCATAGAACAGAGTAGAACTGCCATATCGACTTTCCAGAGCTGTCATTCTTTACAGAAGCAGGCTGCCACATCTTTCTCCTAGAATGGCTGGTAGGCTGAAACTTTTGACCTTTAAGCAGCTGTGCACTTAACCACGGCACCACCAGGGTTCCTTTTGGGCTTTGAAAGCTAAGCTCTAAATCTGTCTTGCTGGGTTTTCAAACCAGCCTCATGAACCAGCAATGTGACAGTTTAAATTACCACTCCCTGGAACACAACTAAAATTCGTTTCAACATGCGGAACAAATTTTTCCCCTTGTTTTACTGACTAGCACAGTGCTTAATCCTTTACTTGGTATTGTTGTTCTTAAGTGCTGTCGAGTTGGTCATGACTCATAGCGACCCTGTATAAGGTTTCTGAGGCTGTAAGTCTCTATAGGAGCAGAAAGCCTTATCTTTCTCCTGTGGAGTGGCTGGTGGGCTTGAACCACCGACTTTATGGTTTGCAGTCCAGTGATTATCCTACAGAGCCACTGCACTCCCCTCAATTCATATAATGGTTTGCAAATCTCAATGTGACAAATAAGTCCAATGTTATGGCTCTTTCTAGTTGGCTTAGGGGTTGAAGTATTTTTAAATACTAGAGTTAAATAATGCCTCTGAAAAGTTCTAAGGGACTAAACTTTAACCTCCAAAAGGTTAAAGAACCCTGCTTCATAGGAAAAGTTAGAAAGTTCATATTGCTAAAGAAGTGATCCAGTCAGCTACTATCAAAAACCCTAAACCAAACCAGCATAAACTGATCTAGATTGCAAGAGATGAGGCCAACAGTTAAGTTCTTAGCTGCTAACCAAAGGGTTGGTAGTTCAAATGCAACCAATGGCTTCACAGGAGAAAAGACCTGGCAATCTGATTCTGTAAAGAATACAGTCAAGAAAACTCTATGTCATTTCTACTCTGTATCAACGGTATACAACAACATTGGCAAAGTTTTAGAAGTCTTTACTATTCAGAAAAAAAGTACCAGAATTCCTGCTTGTTGTTTAGCTCTCTGCTTTTCTGAACTTTTATTGCACAAACAGCAAGATTGTGACACTTAGAAAGCTGTCAGGTAAACATGCACATCGCTTCCCTTGACAGGATCTGTTTATCCATATGTTTATTCAAGAGACTAGAACTGACCTAGTGACCTTATCTCATCAGAAAGCAACTGACAAAACAAGGTTGCGGCAGGACCCAAACTCCCAGGGTTCTCCCTAAGCTCAACATAAATCACAAATTCTACACGTGAAGATCATTTTGGAAAAAAACAATGTGCATAATTCTGTTATTAAAATGATGTTCCACAAAAGAGAGAACTAATTTTATCAAACTGCAATGCACACTGTAAAAAAAATCCCTAAGGTGTTATCTTGTTCTTCAAATAAAGTCTGTTGTTATTAAAGAACCAAATACTCATACGTGAAGGAGTCCTGCTGGCATAGTGGGTTACGAGTTGGATTGCTAACAATAAGGTCAGCAGTTTGAGTCCACCAGCTGCTCCATGGGAGAAAGATGAGGCTATCTGCTCCTGTAAAGACTTACAAAGTTGCTATGAGGTGGAGCTGACCTGACAGAATACAACCACCACCATCATCCATAAATGAGGGGAGATTTGTTCAGAATCAGAAGGGTTCATCCTTAGTACTTTCCTACCATAAAACAAACAAAAAAAACCCCAAACCTGTTGCTATAGGGTTGATTCTGAATCACAGTGACTATATGGCAGAATACAACTGCCCCATAGCGTTTCCAAAGCTGTAATCTATAAGGAAACAAGATTGTCACATCTTTTTCCTGTGGAGCAGCTGGTGGGTCTGAATCACAGACCTTCTGATTAGCAGCTAAACACTTTGCCAATGCTCCTTTTATTTTTTTCTTTCTTTAAGCAGACAATATTTAGAAGGAAGAGAGAGGGAACATACATTTTCTGTTTATAAGGACTCAGTCCCAAAAGGCAGATATTCAGACAAAAACCAAAGCAACTGTGGATATCAGAAAAGAGATAAAAATATATACAAACATAATAATGAACTAGAATTTTAGAGTGACAGTCTGAATTTACTTGTGATTTAGTGGGTGATCTTGACTGAGTTATGATCAGAAAGTTTTTAGTCTCTCACTAATTTCCTTCAAAAGTGTGCGATAAAATTCAGGCATGCTTGTTAGTAATCGCATACATGAGCCCTGGATATCCCCAGATAAATGTAAGGCAAAGTTCCCGCCCCCGCCCCAAAAAAGGAGAAAAGCCAAAGAGGATAGAGAGAAACACTGTTGACTGATGATGTATGGAGGGGATTGTAATCAATGTAATGAAACAAGTTATATGAATGGCTGAATGTGAAACTGATGATGTGCTCTGTAAACTTTCACTCAATCCACAATAAAAACCTTAAAAAAAAATGTGCGATAAAGAATAGTAAGAGAAGAAAAATCTGCAAAGTGTCATGGTTTTATCTGGAAACATTCTAGTTGGACACAGTGACTACTTGTTTACTATGTGCACAAGTTTTAACACTTTTCTGCTATACTCTGTGGCACTATAGGATAAGCACTCGACCACAAGGCAGGTTTGAACCACAGATTGGCAGTTCAAACTCACCAGCCACTCCTCGGAAACCTGGGGAACTCAGTTATACTGGGTCACTATTGAGTCAGAACCGACTCGACGGCACTTAACAACAACAACTATACTCAGGAGGCACACTAGTGGGGTAGTGGGTTACATGTGGGGCAGCTAACTGCAAGGTCAGCAGTTCAAATTCACTAGTTCCTTTGTGGGAGAAAGATATGGCTTTCTGTTCCCATAAAGATTTACAGCCTCAGAAACAGGTCAATGTGAGCTGGAGCAGACTTGACACAAACCACCACCACCACCACCACCACCATTACACTCAAGTGGGTAAAAACAAGATTGGGAGTTGTGAAATGTATTGATCTAGATTTCTGGAAACATTGGGCCAGAGAGACACTGTCCATTAATAAGATCCAAGCTCAGATGAAGAATGTTTTTATTTTTATATTATGCATTATTGCCCTGAAAAGGTTAAAAGGTTAGCCTTTCCTGAAGGCAAAAATGCAGATAATGTAATCAGTGCTAACTAGTTTAAGACAATACTAACCCTAGTCAAATATAAAAAGGGTACCAGTTTGAAGCAGCCTGTTAAATAGTTACCTTGGTATAATAGCTCAGGGATGGATTTTCTGTGTTATCATGAACAGTTTTTTAAACAAACAAAACTTTTATTCCCAAATGAGTCTGTCTTCTTAAAACCTTCACAGAGTAAATCTACACTTCCAAAAAGGCCCTCTTTCAGGATTCCCAAAGAGACCACAAAAATCATAATTGCACCAAATTATTTATCTATATACGTAAAAACATGTACTTTTCTTGGTAAAGGAGATCATACAACACATACTGCTTTTTCACTTAACACATCATAAAATTATGTACATGTTTGGGCACATATATCATCTTACTAGCCACCTAATATACATTTACATGTATACTCTAGTGTATTTCAGAATCCCTTTTATACTTTTATACTTTGCAGGAGACAAAAACACCCTAAAAAACAAAATAAAGGAAATTCTTAGCTTTCTGCAGAAACAAATCTAATAGATAATATTTGTCAAAGGATGGCCATGGGCACTTCCACGAGGTTTCAAATTCTTTTGGGGATGGGATAGAGCATTAAAAACAAGCCAACAATAAACAAATGAAAAACATGTGCTTCTAGAAAGCTCTTGTGTCATAAAGGGGAATGGTGGCAAATCTGACAGACTATAGAAAAGTCACCATCTCCCTTCTCTTTCTTAAAGCTGTGAACCAAATCCTAGCTTCTTTGGAGTTCAAGTCCCACATATAGAAGAATGGAAGACTAAATCAAACAAAATTCTTGAAGCTGTCAAATTACTTCAAAGTTGATGGTCAGGGGCCAAGTCTTTATTTTACCTTAGAGTCCAGCTCAAGAAATTCTGGTATTATCAAGGCAAATAGGAACTCAAATGCCTGCAAATTGCTTAGAAAAATCCTTCTCAATACTTCCTCTCAACCATTCCTCTAAAAGTGTGACGATGTTTGAGAGAGTCGTTTAGGAAATGGCTGACACAGATTTAAACTTAACTGGCAGGTTCACTATTATCCAAAAGGCAAAGATATTTACAGCAACTTACCTCCATCATCCAAGGGCCGCTTTTGTACTCCATAGCCATACACTGAGGGGTCCACTAGAGGTGTGGAATTATTCAAGTGAGGAATTGAATCAATTTTAGCAGCAATCTACAGAGAGAATCAGATTTAAAAATCAGTAACAAATCATGGCTTACTTGAGGAAGAGAGACAGGTGTTCTCTGTAAAAGGCTGTTGCCCACTTCTCCCAAGCTGGATTACTGTAAGGCAGGGGTTGGGAATGTCCAGCCCCTGGGCTGCAGTTTTAGCCATCATATTAGAGGTGAGTTAATTAAATGCTTGACAAAATATAGCAGGCTAATTTTAATTTGATAATTTTGTATGGCTTGTGAATGATATCATAAAAAAGGTTCCCACCCCTGCTGTAAGGCAACGTCATAGCAGGACAAATGCATTTCCCTGTTAATTGCCTTTTTTTTTTTGGTCTTACTGGAAATGAGTCTTTAGGAATAAAATAATTTTAGAAGTCCATTTTCTACAAACAATTTATTATTTCAAAATCATTTTAAATATAGGTATGCTGCACTTTAAGGTGTTGGGGGGAAGCAGGACAACAATGTGAAGAGCTCTATTCAAAATGTTTTTATCACAGGAGTCTTTGAACAAAGAAATTCCCCAAGAACATTGTAACAGGCCTTTGTTTTGATAAACATGGGATGAGAAAAGTGACCTTGTTTCGCTCAAATGTGACCATTCTTTAGGAACAGATTCATTCTTCTAGTTTTAATGTCTATAAACCAATGATACAATCTATACAGATAGAAAACACCAAGCTGCTCTTCATTGGAAGCGTCCAACAACAGGAGGACGCCATCTGCGCACTCTTTCAGAAGGATTCTTGCATAGGAGAAAGTGAACTAACCCCTGAGAGTTATTTCAACTTGTAATAATTATTATCAAAAAGTTGAACACAGTGATTAAAGTGATTTTTCCAAAACAAAGGATATATATATGAACTAAAAAAGTGGAACGTCTTACTTTTATATACTTTGTTCTCAAAGGAAATTAAATGAGAACTTTGTAATAAATCAACTTTCATTTAATCAAAAGAATATTTACAGCAACTGCTCTTGATGTTAGTTCCTTAGTAAAAATGTAACAAGCAGGGGTGGATTAAGAGGTAGCCAGCATGGTCATCCCACTCAGGAATCTTTAGTGGCAGGTCTCTTGAGCTAGTCTATATGTGCTCGGAAGTCTCAGGTCTTCTGGGACCAACATAAAGAAAGATTAAACCAAAAACAGTTTTGAAACTGAAAAATAAACTCAGAATTTAAACATGAGACATCCTGGTGCCCAATCTTATCTTTTCCTAGTTCTATGATGTTGGACAAGTCTCTCCTCTCTGCATAAGATTCCCAGGTTATACCACTATTTGCTTTATAGTTTTGAAAATGAAAAGATACCTTGAATGTACACCAGATGTACCTTTGTACACCAGAAAGCACTACACAAATATCAGAGTTGTAAAACCAGCAGTTTACTCAAGAAATGGTGAATGCCAACAATGTGCTAAGCACTGTCCTATGAAATGGGGCTACTGCGGTGAACAAGAAGGCCCCTACTATTGGGCTGGAGCTAAGTAATTGGTGGGAGGTCACACAGTAAATAAGTTAATCAATCAGAATGATTATTTTTGCTGGTGATAACCATTTGATAATAAGACAAGATAGTAATATGCAGATAGTACTTACAAGACCAACCAAACTAACCCCCCTGCCATCAAACTGATTTTGTGACCCTACATAGTTTCTGAAATTTTAAATCTTCATGGGGCAAACAATCCCATCTTTCTCCTGTGGAGAGGCTGGTGGGCTTGAATCATCAATCTCGTGGCTAGTAGCCCAATGCCTAACCCATAGTGCCACCAGGGCTCTTTAGTGCTTCTAAGAGCTACTTAAAATGTGAATCAACTTAGGGGCAGTGGGTTTGGTTTTTTGGTTTTAAATATGGTGCTAAGGCAAGGCCTCTCTGAGGCAATAACATCTGATCTGTGAACTAGAAGAGCAGGAGCTGGCCATACAAAAATCCCAGGGAAGACAGTTCAGGCAAAAGAGTAGCTTGGAGAAAGGTGTAAGTAAGCTCGGTGGATATGAACTCGGAAGAGAGGAAGTTAGTGGTGCTAGAGAGGAAGAAACCACATTATCTATCAAGAGATCCACAAAAGTCAGATCATAGTGGGCCTAATGTTGTTAAAGTGCCGTGGAGTTGGTTCTCATTCATTAACGACACTGTATACTGCTATAGTCTAGGCCAGAGGTTGACAAAAAAAAACACCTGTTCTTGTAAATAAAGTTTTATTAGAACATGCTGCTGCTGCCAAGTGCTGTACTGTACTGACTCATGGAGACCCTGTATAGGATTTCCAAGGCTATAAATCTTTGCAGAGGCAGAAAGCCTCATCTTTCTCCTGAGGACCAGCAGGTGGATTTAAACTGCTGATTTTGTGGTTAGCAGCCTAATATCTAATCCAGTATGCTACCAAGACTCCTTATTGGAACACAGCCACACACATTTGTTTGTTTCATCTATGGCTGCCATGGCACTACAACAGCAAAACCCAGGCGCTGTGATAGAGACAATATGGCCCACAAAGTCTATATTAGAAGGTAGGTCCAAAGTATTGCTACTAGGGTTCTAGTTCATATTCACAGGTTTATTCCAAATAAAACATGCTTAAACGTGTCTGTTATTAGTGGATGGCTGCACATAAGTTCTCTCAGTAATATTTTTGCCATAGTCTTGCGTTGCTGTTGTTGTCCAGTTCGTTCTGACTCATAGTGACACTGAACAGAATTTCTGAGGAGTGGCCGGTGAGTTTGAACTGCTGACTTTGTGGTTCAAACAGACCTTGCAGTCCAGGGCATTATCCTGCAGCGCCACACCGGGAAAGGAATATTGGGAGACATTACAGAAAGCTTATAAGACAGTCTTCAAGCCTATAACTGATTGGATTATCTAAAAGGGCACTAGAATGTATACCCAGGGAAATAGGCTTCTTGTTAAGCTTTTGTGGAGAATGGAGCCTTAGGTAGAATCCTGATTGAAAAGATATTCAGACCAACCCTGAACGGCTAGAGAAACAGAAGATACTACTTAAAAGAAAGACTGGAGGTGGGAGTGGGGAAGCACACTGATTGGCTGTGACAGTATCAAACAAGCTGTGTGTCTTGGAGCCATGAAGGCAAGCAAAGTTAGCCCATCAGGGTATAAATCCCTTTCTAAGGCTGAAACCCAAAAGGAACACACAAACAGTCTTGTAGGCTTGCTGGTGATTGCCCTGGTCAACTGGTGAGTAGAAGTGGGTGGAATGCAGCAATGAAGACACGGGCTGAGTCTGACCATGTTCCATAGACACCTGATGACCCTGAGATGAGAGAGAGAAGAGGAATGGCTAGCTGGTTTGAAGTTCAGGGAGATGTGCGAACTTCTGAGCCCAAGGACACTGACCTAGCTAGAGTTAAGAATGAAGCGGCCAATGGTCTGAAGTGTGTGTGTGAGATGTGCGAGAACTCCCAAACTTGCAGACAGTACCCCTCTGACCTAGCTTGGATGGCCTGCTGACCAAAATTAGATCAGATCAAGATAAAGAAGACTGATACAGGAACAAGCATAAATTGCTACAACCTGATGAACTGGACCTTTGCTTATGGATGAAGTTAACCAAAATTCTAACCAAAAGGGAAGGATTCTTCATATTAAGGATCAAACTTGCCTCCTCAGTACACAGGGTTGATGGGGACACACAACTTACACTTTGTTTATAAAAATTGGGGGTTATAAAGGCACTAAGTGGCTGGCTTTACAAGTTTTCATGAGGGTGGTTAGAGTCAGAATGAGGGAGGTAAGACAGAATTCCCACTGAGTAGTTTTCCTCTTGTCCAGATGGGTCTAGTGATGATGGGGATAGGGTTTTATGATTCAATTGTGAATAACTGTTATTAGGACTAATGGCGATTGTCACAATTGTAATTGTAAAAGAGGTGTAACTAAAAGGGGGGAGCAGTTAATCTGTCATTTCAGGATCAGAGGACCTTAGAACCATCAAGAGGGAAAAGCACTAGATGAGTGGGGGATCCTAACCAGAATAGCGGCGACAACAGAGATGGTGACAGAGGCAATGGCATAGAGAGACAGAACAGCAGAGCACTATAGGGCCACAGACTGAGAAGAGCAGTGTACCTGTGGGCAGGAGGCTGGCTTATAAAATGTGCCCTTTAGACATTTAAATGAATATGTATTTTCTATGTGGTATATGTACATTAAAAAAAAAAAAAGAGTAACATAGGTAAATACTGTTAGCTGATAGTGTATGGAAGGGACGGTAAGCATTGCAATGATTTGTTGAATGTAAAATTGATGATCTGCCCTGTAAAACCTTCATTCAATTCACAATAAAAGCTTAAAAAAAAACCCCACAAAAAACCACTGTTGCTATAAACCCCATCTCTTACATATCCAAGCCTCAGAACAAGTGATCATTTGCTTTAAAACAAAACACTGTATACAAGACCCTGTCAAACAGCGTTCTACCATCAGTTTCCAATCTTGTGCTCCATATTTGTATTGGATAAACTTGTGGAGGGTGGCTACTTAGTTAAGATGTAAGTACTGTATCAGCTGGTAAAGCAGGTGGATATAAAGGGTGAAAAGACTGCAGTGGCTAGTGTCTCACAGAGACCCTTTTCATCTCCCATAGTAAAAGGCTGCAGTGGAGGTTTTTCACATTGTTAGTTCAGATGTTTTTAAAAGACTGCCCCAAACATTTGCAGCAGATAGTAAAGATGACGTCAAATCACAAAAGACAGTGGAGCAGGGGCTTTTTAATTATCAGAGCCCCTCAATAGTGTGCACATCAGATCACACTCAAAACAGGATCTTAACCTTAAGCTCTGCACAGGAGACATTTTTCCTACTCCCTTCTGAGGATGCCTCTTGGCTTCCACATCTTTTTCCTTCCTTCCAAAGTTGCAGTTTTTCCTCAGTCCTAGGCCTTCCTTATAATTTATATAGTATGTGTCTTTTGTTGCTGGAATGCCTTCTTTTTTCTCAAAGTCAATAAGCTAGAAGTTTTTCAGAAGAGTTCTGTTCCT